ACACTTACTAACTTTAAGCTAAAAAAAAAATAAAGTACCTACAAAGTTTAGCAATTCAGCAGATGTTTTGACTCAGATCTAGATTCCTAAATTCTGCATATCTCACACACACACGTGCACACACACACACACATATGCACACACATGCATGCACGCATTGGTCATACAGCACAGAATGAAATCAGGGCACCTGAATTCCAAGCTAATGTTCTAATCACTACACCACTCTTCTTAACAAGTGATGTGTCCTCTAATTTAAAATGCTTCATTCAGTGCTTCCCCTTTTCTATTTCTAATTTTTTTTCAGGTAAACCTCACTATTTAGAGGCCAGGTGAGGGTACAAGGAGAAAAGATTTCTGCCTTCCAATTTGTGGCCCTTTCCTATAAATCCCATGCTTAAATTATGCAAAGAACAGGTTTTCTTAATATTTTTATAAATAGAATTGCTTTTAATTCACATCTAGTGACACAGATCAGACTGAACACTTTGAATTACAGTGGTCAATCTATCTGGTATTACATAAAACATGGACAGATGGACTGCGTACTTACCTATCCTAATTAAATTTATTCACTCTAACTTGCACAATAGGAACATCTAGTGATAAGAGATATACTGCCTCCTTCCATGACATTGCCAGTGCTTAAATAATGTTGGCACTGGAACAAGGACATAACCGTACACTAAAACAATACTGTATTAACTCAAATCAAAGATGACCCTGATTTAAGATGACCCACTTCCCCTGCAATTAGAATCTATACATGGAAAAAAATATAAATTTGTTATAATTTTCACATACAGAATCTAATTGTTGGAGGGTCATCTTTAATTAAGCTGCCCGCACAACTGCAGGGAGGCAGGAAGTTGATCCCCTCCTCCCATTGTATTTGATTCTAAGATGAGGGGCTTCCCCCTCCCCACCCCCCATTTTAAATGATGAGTAAATATGGTAGATCAAAATTGCTAGTTAATTTTGTCATGATACATAGGTAACGGATTACAAGTAGTAGGGCATTATTTATTCAGATTTAATTAGATTTAAGAAAGGATTGAATAGACAAGTTCCCAAGACACATTTCTGACTACTACAAAGTATCTGGGCTAGCAATAACAGAAAGTAGTCATATGAAAATGATATCTTTAACACCTTGGAGTACAACCAAATTAACTGATCAGCCAAAACTATGTAGAGTTTGATAGAAAAAGTTTAGTAGTTAGTCCTACAAATAATCAAATGTCCAACATTGTAGAATGATACAATGTGGTTTTAAGAGGCATTGTGAAATACTCAGACCTCACACTACCTGCAGATATCTGAAGTCTGCCTACTAACAAATCTCAATTTCTTATTGTCAGAACTTTGTGAGCTTGCATAATTATTTAAAATCTCAATGAAGAAGTGATTTTGATATTCTGGATACTTATTGTAGAAATATTATTTTAATAAGGATAGAGGATATTCCGCTCTGATCCAAACATACCATAACTCTGGGGATATCTAGTCTAACTGCAGCAGTTGGGGAAAGTTTGATGTTTGTGTGGTGAGCCAAGAGGCTATATATTTACCTAAAATCCACATAGCAATGAACTCCTTAGGAAGATAAAGAAATAAGTGCATAATCCATAATCATTATTACCTTGCTGTACTGTATTAAAATATGTAATAATTAATACAAAACATTTAGATGTTTTTGACATTTGTATTGAAAGGCCCCATGATAGCTTAACAAAGACTAACTTAAAGAAGTGGGGGAAATCTGTATGCTCCAGCAGTGGTGCCCAACCTTCTGTCCTCATGGGTTGATGAATGGTCTATGGGTGTAAAACTAATCCAGAACATTAGTTTTACTCTGCGCTTCTGGATGTGGCCACATGCTGCCTTGCCCCTGTGCATCTCTATCTGGCCACACCCTGGTGCATATAGCCATGTTCTCCACCCCACAGGGCTCCTCATGGGTCTAGAAATTTGGCAGCAGGGGACTGGCAATTAATCCTACCACCAATCCCCCCACCAAATTTCTAGATGACTGGGAAGTTCCGTGGGTTGGATGACACAGCTCTGAAGGCTGCATCTGGCCTGGGGGTTGAGTCCCCCTGCTCTACAGAGTTGCCATAATTTAAATTTAATATTACTTCTAATACTTGTAAAGAATAAAACCCAGAGTTAACCAATAAAGACCCTTTTATACCAAACCATCTTCAAATTAAACTGGTGATTGGCACAGTTTTGGGAGCTTTTTTCCCTTAAAGGTGCAATTCTGCCATCTTTGCTCCTAAATAATAGTTACTGATAAGGTATAATGAAATTTAAAGTAATTTGTTTGTTAACAAAGAAACTATCTTGAAATCTAGGGCAGAGGTCCCCAACCACCGGGCCACAGCCACGGCCATGGTACCATGCCACAAAGTGTTGGCTGCCAGGTTGTGGCATGAGCCCCTTGCTCGGACCTCTGTCTGTCCACCCGGCTGAGTGGCTTCCACCACCAGCAGTCATACGTGGGGTTAAAGCTGGGCAGCAGGGTAGCCCCAGGATGGAAGCAGCCAGCTCTGTGCACCCCGTCCCACTCCTGTGTCGGTCCACAGTATAAAAAAGGTTGGGAATTACTGATCTAGGGTCTTGACTTTCAGGGGCTTGAGCACCCAGCATTGTAGGTGAAATTACAGTAACTGCAAATATTCAGCATCTCTGGAAATCAGGCCCCTTGCATTTAGAAAAACCCATAGAGAGTGGTTACAGGCTCTGAAATTCTTGAAGGATAATGTTAATGGGCACCTATACATGTGCAGCAAGGCTGCTCTGACACGCTGGAATTACAGCATGTTGGAGCAGGTTCCAGCGTCTCATGTATCAGCGTCACTGAAATGAAAAATGGTGGCAGGGGCACTTTAACTAAAGGTCATTTGACAAGCTTTAGTTAAAGCACCTCTGCCACTATTTCTCAGTGTGGGGATGCTGATACATGAGAAGCTCCAGGCGCTTTGATTCAAGCACCTCCTCCTCTGCCCCTGCTCCACTCCTGGAGCACAGGTATAAATGCCCAATGAGCTTAATTTGGCAGAGGAAAGGTATATGGCAGAGAAGAGGCATAGAAGAGTACGTATCTCCTAGTGTAGGGATGGTCAATTATTTGGGCCCAAAGGCTACATAGGGAGTTTTGAAGAACTGTCATGGGCTGAGATCCATTGCCTGTATGCCCTGCCCTGTGAGCAGGGTGTGCATGGGGGTGTGTGGAGGGGGCAAGTGCACGTGTGTGGAGGTGCTGCCTGGGAGCCAGCCAGGGGTGAAGGGAGGGAGGAGAGGTTGGGGGTGCATGCAGCAGAGCTCTCACAGTCTCTGGCTTCCCCTCTGGTGCTCCGCATGGGGCCAAGCCCTGCTTGGGGCAGCTTGTGCCATGCTCCTGCACACACCTGCTGGTGCTGGCTCCAGCCCAGGCCCCAGCCAGTGTGCAACTTCTACAGTGTGCAGGGCTATTCCCAATGTAGCTGCAGCCAGCTGGGTGCTGCTCTGCTCCCCTTGCCTGCAGCTGTGGCTGTGGCTGTGGCTGCTGATCCTGCTCCTGTCCCTGCTGTACCACTCTGGGCAGACAGGGAGAAGCTTCAGCCGGGCATCTTCTGCTCCACCACATGGAGCTCCAGCTCCCAGCTGCCTTCCATCCACTCTGCCCACCCAACACGATGAGCAGCTGTCTGTGGGTGGGTGGAACAGGTGGCAGGAGGCTGGAAGCCAGAGCCAAAGCCCCATGCACTGGGATAGGAGACAACTTGCTGAAGTTTCCCCCCTGCCCACCCACCCAGAGTGGCGCAGCAGGGGCAGGAACAGAAGCAGGAGCAAGAACAGGAGCAGGAGTTGTGGCTGGAGGTGAGGAGAGGAGAACAGCCCCACCAGCCCACACAGCTTCCAATGGGGCTGTTTCCCCTGTGGCTGCTGCTCTGCTCCGCTTCCCTCCAGCAGCGGCTCCTTCTCCCACTCCTGCCCCTGCTGTGCCACTCCAGGCGGGCAGCCGGGTGGCTCCTGCTGGAGGTGGGGGGAGCAGGAGCACACTGCGGGCTGCCTTGGAGGAAGCAGGTGGGGCTCAGCCCCAAGTGGAGCACTGTAGGCTGGATACAGTCAGCTGGCAGGTCAAATCCAGCCCACAAACCATGTTTTGCCTAGCTCTACCCTAGTATATTCTGTTACCCTGATACCGAGTTAAAAATTTACCCTTTTCTGTGGAGGAACTTCACTAAAGGAAAGGCAGGGCTCTTCCAGTTTTGTCCTCATCCATAGCTTGTTTGGCATAAGCTATAAATAGTGGCTTGTAATCCTCTCTTATTAGACAACCAATTCATCAGGTGTGAGTCAGCATTCTTTTAAGGTTTCTGGAGCTATTGCATTCATTTATGATACCATCTGATGTGTGTCCGGTCTATGAATTTAGAAAACAGTAGAAAAAATATCTCAACCAAAATACTGTGTTTTTCTTATAATCTGTTAAGGTTTAGGGGTGTCACTGGTCCTCATACAATGCAACCCATTTCGAGTAGAATTCTTAAAGGAAAGGAGCCATGCACACTCATACTACTGAAAATGAGACAATGTGAATTTAGGTATCAAAGCATGGATTTTAAGTGCTTCAGTGTAGGTACCCAAATTTGAATATGCATTGTCTTAAATGTAGGAAGGGAAGATTCCAAGCTGTGCAACAAATAGCAAAAGCAAAACTGCTGAGAAAATGTAAATATTGGGGAAGCCAAGTAATGTTACAGCTATTTTAGACTGGACAATAGACATTTGTTTTGCGTGATTTTTGCTAGCCAGTAGTTGCAAAAATGAATAGACTTTATTACTGTTAATGATTTATTGCTTATCAATGGGTGGAGAGTTTAGTGGTGGGATTAGTCAGTTTAATGATTGAACTGCCATGTCTTAGCAGAGAATGCTGCACCTGCAATGCAATTTTTTTTTTTTTGTGTAGCAGAAGTGTATTTAAGAGGGGCAAAATTTCATGTGGCACTGACAGTGAAGAACACCTTGGATAAGTGGTAAGTAACTTTCTGAGTTTTTGGCTTGTGGTATTCATTCATTTGTATCTGGTGTTTCATTTTAGGAAATGTAAGGATGATATTAAGATTAAACACTTTTTACCCCCCAGGGAGTTAAAAATGTTTCTTTTTATATAGGAAAAACTATCTTATGAAATTCTAAATTGAATGAGCTCTCAGCACCCATGGAACACCAACTCATGTGCAAACAATATTGAACTCTGCTATTTTTACATAGTCTCTCTCTCCTCTAACTAATGTACATGTCTATATTAACTCATATTTTCCCTCTGGATTGGAATTCATGGCTTTCTGTTACATGGGGGAAAACAAGAAAAACTTTGAAGATAGTAAGAAAGAAAATGTGGTCTGGATAGTACTAAAATATCTTCTCTCACAATAAAATTCAGATAAATAAATTGATTTGGCTGATTTTGAGACATAAAAACAAAGATCTCTTTTATATTATTTACTAACTGCTACTGAAGATGTTTCCTTTTTGAAGCTGTATGCTTATTTGTGTTGTGTTGATACTAGAATTTCCATACTGGCACATACTGTAGAAGTATGCAATGCCAAATTAAACATTTATGTCCCGATTCAAACAGGGGTAGTTAATAGTAGAGATTGGAATTTTTTTACTAAAAGTCCATTCACCCCTTCCCCTCCCCCTGCCACTGGAAAGCACTAATTAGTCAAAATTTGAAATTTTCCACAAGAATTTATCAATAAAAATTTAAGTGGGGAAAGTTTCTCAGAACTTCTGGTCAGAGGAAGAGACTCAAAAATAGTTTAATGGCAGGCAAGGTTCTTTGAGTAGAAGTGATATCTTTATTAGACCAACTGAGTAGTCGGAAAACAGTTCTTAGCAAGCTTTCGGGCGCTATCACCCTTCTTTAGGCAGAGGGAGTCTCTGCTGTTCTGAGACTCCAAGGAATAAGGGTCTAAAGGTTATGGATTCAACTGGCATGAAGGAGAGAGACAAATTCAAGTCCCTGGTTTAAAGCAGGTGTAGCAACAGTTAACAACTGGGTCTCCCATGTGCCAGTGGAGTACCCTAACCACCAGGCTATTTTTTGTTTGAGAAGGGTGTTTCTGTTTTTCTTTTTGGAAAAAGTTTTTTAAAGTCTTAATTTTGTCCTGTCATAGACAAATTCCAAATTTTTGCCCACAAGGGATTACAATTATTTTTTATATTAAAAACAATGTCATACAAGCTAAATAGGACTTAAAGCAGCAGAAGAGTTGTTAGTACATAACACTGCATTGCTAGGTAATAGGACTAACAACTGGAATAGCCTGGAGACTGACTTCAAAGGAGGTTTCATCTGATTTCAGGCGCCTTCCCTAGACAGCACAGGAGAAGTTTGCATGGTTTTTGTCTGTGCTGTACCTTTTGTATTGGATCCTGTTGAACAGATACATAGAACTATTAATTTAACCCCCTTCATAAGCATGGGATTATACTAATGAAGAAACAAAATCAACATCCAGTTGTCACTGTTTGGAGCACTGCATGCATGATGAGAGCTAACTTAACCAAGATTCAGAATGAGGTGGAGTGGGGGCTCTTGCAATCATTGCATTCGATCAGGACACTCTGGGGACTCTACTTTTGGATCTGCTTTATTGAAACAAACATTTTTTTTCTGAATTCTTGTCACGAGTAAGTATATTTTTTGTAGGGAGGATGGTAGAGAAAGAATTCTCAGGGAGACTGTATTTTTCATTTTCACTAAAAATTTACCAGTATTTAGTCAGGTTTTCTTCAAGGACACATTGTACATTTAAAAGCACACACAGTTGGAGCCAACAGGTGCCTAAATTCCACCTAAACTCCATTTTAGGACCCTAAGTCCAAGACTGTAGTCTTGAACACCAGAGCTTGCATTGCTGCTTAATACTGCAGGCACCTAAGTTTTGTGGATGCTCCAGTTCATGACCTTAAAGTTCTTCAGGCACGTAAAAAACTGTTTCTACCTCAGTTTTGACAAGGTTTGACAGCTCACCTTGCTCCTGCAGAAGACCACTCAAGAGTCTCTGTCAGTCTCCTATCCAGTAGGCATGTTCTGAAGATACCTGCTAGATCATGCTTCCTTCAAAATGCATGGGGGATTTTAAAATAATGAAGATAATGCCCACTCACTTTTTGTATGATACCTGAGTGCTTAGAGCATTCACTCAGTTGAGCTACCCAGATTCACTTCCTTTTTGCCCAAGGGGATTCAAGCCCACATCTCCCAGGAGAGTACCCTAAACACCAGACCATGATCTGCTCTGGAGTGAGGAAACACTCCACTTTGCAGAAAAGAATGAATGATTCTTTGTGCATCTCTGCATGTGAGGGGAATGCTGCAAAAAGTGAGCATGATTCAGTATCCCAGTGGTTAGGGCACTTTCTCTTGTGTGGGCAGATTTCTGAGCTTCAGTTCCTGCTCCAAGGGCTGTTCATTATCTTTATCTTTGTCTAATGGCTGTTTTACTGTAGGTCTCCCATGTCTTGGATGCATGCTTGAAAGGGGGGCCGCTACAACTTCTTTTGGAAGAAAAGCTCCTCCCCTATTCGCTTTTTGAAAGAAAGGGCTTTTAGACATTGCCCTTTAGAAAAGCGTTCTACGCTGTGAATTCTGAGTAAAGAGAGGCCCCACTCACCAGCTCAGAGCAAGTTGCCTAAGCTGCTAGAGAGCTATGGGATCTCAGATGAATTTCTCTCCTCAGTCTTTCCCTGTTACCAAGTGTACATAGTTCACAGCTCTTTGTGTTGTTCAGTGCAGATCCTATTCTAAGGCACCGATCCACACCCCCAGGCAATGTTTAGGGAGCTATTCCTAATTCAAGGTTTTGGCCATCAACAGTTTGGGGGTTGGGGTCTAAGAGCTGGGTATTAAAATGCTCAGTGTTGCAGAAACTAAGGCTGCTGACAAACATTCATTTACAGGCATGATGGGATTTGATCCCTGATCCCAACAATCACATTTCTGCCATGTCACATGTGCATGGCAGGATACGCAATTTGGAGATCAGGAATCAGATCCCAATTGTTCCTGACTGGCCAGTACAGGGGAAGCCTGGATCATTATACCATGCCAGCAAGTTGAAAGCTGGGTGACCAAACAGTTGATTGTCAGCTGGCTCCTCAACTGCACCAGTGTTTGAACAGGCCCTGGTGCAGTCCCCATACCCAGCTGACAATCAGGTGATGGTTGGCTGGCAGGGACCACAGCAGGACCGGTTTGACTCTTTGTGTGGTCTTAACCCTACCACACATTCAATTTAAGGCAAGATGGAAATTAGCTACAAAAATATTAATTTTTGTGTAATATTTTTGTGGATGGTATCCCTTTTATGTTGCCATTTAATCCCCTAAACTTGTGTCTGGGTTAGTATTTAAATGTAATGTCTGCCATGGGCCTAAATGATCCAACACACAGGGTATTTATATACATACTCTGGGAGATGGGGGAGGGACACACACACACTTTAATTAGATTGGCTCTGGCAGCCAGTGTAATTAAAGCACCCAGAACATCACGGGTATTGGCATCCCCACACTGAAAAATGGCAGTGGGGGCACTTTAGCTAAAGTTCATTGAATGAGCTTTAGTTAAAGCACCCCCATCACCATTTTCAGTGCAGGGACACTGATACATGTGACGCTGGAGTCATCTGGAGTGCAGTAATTACCACTATCCAGCAGATTCAATTAATTGAGTCTGCTCTGACACATTGTAATTACAGCACACTGGAACAGCCTCAGCATACAAGTGCCCACGAATTACAGAACTGTGAACATCATCTCAAGTGCTTTTTTTTCCTTCCCCCCCCCCCCGCTGGAACACCTCAAAGTTGTCTCCTATGAAGTGAGTGAATGCCAATACTGCATGCCATCATCTAGTCTTTTCCTGTTCTGAAAAGCAGAAGCATTTCAGCTGTGATAAAACAGCTGTATTTGTTTTGTGGCCCTGGACAGCTCACCAAAGCTCATTAAGTGGCCCTGCAGCCAAAATAAGTGCCCGCCCCGATCTATTAGGACCTTTTGCTCCAGCATTAATGTGTTTTTGAAGAAATTCAGTGATTCACAGGCTGTTTGAACTCTGCCTCTATTAGCGATCTGATTTAAAAGGATTAAAGTTACTACATTTTATAAGCAAAGGGATCAGCCTAAGGCATTGGTTCTCAACCTCATTAGACACACCCTCAGAACTAGCTAGCTCTTAGCTTTAATTTTTTTAAAAATTATTATATAAAAATAATAGAACAATTCTTTTGTTGAGTTAGAAAATAGCAGGGAAAGGAGAGATTCATAGTTATACCCAGATATAACTATGAACTTCTCTCCCTGCTATTTTCTAATTCAACCTCATAGGGCACAATAATGTGCTTTTACATTATACATTATAACCAGGTTAAAATTAACTCCTTACTGGGTATACAGAACCATTAAAACTGTGTTCCTCAGCTAATAAATGAGAAAATGAAAACCCTTTTCATGGATCATATCACAATAATTATTTACTGGTTGGGGCTAGGGGGTATGATCTTTTGATATGATAAAGTACAAAACCTAATTAAATTATCTTAGTTGGCATAAAGTATTAAAATCTTCTTTTAAAATGACATTTATCAAGTGTTAAAGAGTGATTAAACTGTATCTAAGAATGGTACCTTGATGAATGAAATGGTTAACAATAGCAGAAATACAAATCCCAGACTTTAATTTCCTTCACACAGACTCACATAAAATATTTTGACAAAGGGTGAGTTCTCGAGGTCCTATTTCTATGTGCTTTAATCATATAAGTACACCAATGCCCCATCCAAGTCAACTAGATTAGCCAGCATGTGATAATTTTGGGAAGCTATGTAGTTTATGAGTTCTGCTGAAGGTTGCTAGAAATACAGAATTGCTGGCTCTTACATGTCTCTGAATGAGTCTACCCACCCTTGCTGATAGGCTGTATCAATCAATCCCAGTTCAGACACAGCAGTCACTGAACTGTAATAATAAACTATTCAGATACCAATACCTTTTGAATCACAAATTAGCTATAGCTCAGAGTGGCTCCAACTCTTTCTTCAGGAACTGTAATTTTATGATTGGAAATTCCCAAATGAGGGAAGGAAGGGGGGAAGCTCTGCAGAGCAACACAGGAAGCTTTGGGCAGAACAGAAGAGATGGACAGGTTTTCATAGGTAGCCCAGCTGATTTTCTTCTAAATACCTAACAATAAAACATTTTTTTTTAAATGGCAGTATTTCTACATCAGTGGTGTCAATGCTTCTTGTCATGTAAACCATGCAATTCCAGCTTGGTGTCGTTGTTTATTTTGCTTTGCTTTTTATCTCTAGTTTAACACTTCTCCATATTCCGGTATTTATTTATTTATTTGATATCTTAAGTCAGAATTGAAATCTCAGTGGTAATTACATTTATATGAAACATACTGATAAGAATCTTGGTTTATTAAACAGCATACTTTTTATTGTGTTCTAATTGCTACAATGAAACATGAGACTTCAGGTTCCTTTTTTTTTTTTTACTGTGTGCTTGTAAATGTAGCAAAGTGCAGTTGAATTAGACCTTTGACACTGAGCACATAAATGCCTTTTTTGATTTCATATTTGTCCTTCAATGAAGGCCACTCCAGTTCTTCCTTTAAAACACTTTTCATAAGAGCTACTGAAGAAGTGTTTACTATGGAAACCTGCAGCAGTGAAATGAAGGTGATACACACATGGACTTCAGTAAGGCCAAGATTTCACTCTTGAAGCAAAACTCTGCTCCATGTACTGACTTTTGCATGCTTTCTACCCTAATTTGGAAATCAGCTCAGATATGCTTAAGTAAATATACAATAATATGTACTATATTTAGTAAAAAGCTTAGTAGTGTTACATTTTTTGTAGCTCTGTATTGGTTTTAATGTTTGCAACAGTGGGGTTGGAAACTGTATTTTTCTTGGGAGCTTAAACGGTACCTGAGCACTGCAAGTTTTTAATGGTTTTTTCTTTGTGAACTAGGGAAGTACTAATACTCTATTTTATAGATGAGGAACTGAAGCACACAAAGGTTAAGGATTTTGCCTAGGTCAAATGAGAAGTCTGTGGCAAAGCACATTACCAAAACTTCTCTTGTGGGACTTAACCACTAGATTATCCATCCTCTATGAATTCCAACTAGCAATTCTTCATCTAATAAACTGTGGACAACATACATTGGGTATTAAATGATGTTCATGCCTCTGTGTTGGTCCTGATGATATTCCCTGGCCTGGTATAAAGAAGACACTATGCCAAGGGTGCTCAACCCCCAGGCCAAATCTAGCCCCCAGAGCCAGAGCTGTCTCTAGGGGTGTGCAGGGCCCAGGGCATATCAGCCTGTGCAGGGCCCGGTGGGGAGGGTGGGGAGGGGCCAGAGCCATCAGCACTCAGCGGCACAGCAGAGTCTGCAGTGCACAGCAGCATGTGGAGGCCGCAGTGGGACCTGTACGGCACTGCAGGGCCTCCCAAAGTGTGGGGCCTGGGGTGGTCGTCCTGATTTACACATACCCCTCCCTCTCCGGGATGGCCCTGCCCAGAGCTGTCATCCAAGCCGTGGGACTCCACATAGACATGAAAATTTGGCAGCAGGAGAATGGTTACCACTCCCCTACTGCTAAATTTCTGGACCTATGGGGAGCCCTGTGGGTGTTGCCCTGTGTGCTAGATTGGGCATGCAGGCCAGCAAGGGGCCAGATCCCAGCAGATGGGGTTAGGTAGGGGTGTAGGCCTGAAGACCAACACCATGCTACTTATCTGGCCTGTGGCTCATCTGGTTCTCGACCTTGAACTACAAGGTTGGGCACCACTGTGCTATGCAGTTCAAAGTACTGTTTCCTTGAGGAGATGGATAATAGAAATCTAACAACCAGCTATGGCAGGGGTGGGCAAAATACGGCCCGCGGGATGAATCAATGGCCCACAAGGCCATTCTATCCAGCCTGCGGGGCCCCTAAAAAATTTAGAAAATTAATATTTATCTGCCCTTGGTTCCCATAAAAAATGACAGGAGCCAGGGGCAGTAGGACCCAGGGGAAGCCCTCGTGGGCTCCTGCAACATCAGGGCCCCCATGGCCCTGCCCTGCCCCAGTCAGAAGCCACAGCAGGGGCTTCTGGCCTGGGACCATGCAGCTGCATCGTGCCAAAAAACTCAGGCAAGGAGGGGAGGGAAGGGCAGCTGAGGACCCTGGGTGGGGAAGGAGCCCGGGGAAAAGCTGAGCATGGAGAAAAGTGGCCCCTTGCCCGCCCCATGGCTGGCACTCCCTGCTGCAGCCGCTTGCAGCCCATGCAGGGCTGTCCTGAGCAGGCACAGGCAGCCCCACATGGGCTGCGATCAACTGCAGCACGGAGAGCCGGCCACGGGGCAGGGGAGGGGCCACTTTTCCCCATGCTCAGCACCAGCTCATTCCCTGCTGGTGAGGGGGGGGACGGGCCTGCCCCCCCCCCCCCGCCTGTACCGCGGAACTGGGGGGCACTGGGAGTGAGTGGGCAGGGAGCCAGTGGGAGCACAGGGCCTGCACCAGTGTCCTGGGGCCAGTGCCAGCAAGGCTCAGAGCAGGGAGGCAGAGGTACAGGGTCTTGGCTGTCAGGGGCTCTATGGAGCTGGTCCAGCTCCTCCCTCTCCCTGCTGGTGCAGCCCAGCCCGACTCCACAGACCCCTGCCAGCCTGCGCCCTGCTCTGGGCCCCACCGGTGCTGACCCTGGGACATTGGTCCCAAGACATTGGGACTTTGGTCCCAAGATGATGACCAGGGGGCAGGGCACCTGTCAAGGGGCAGGGCTACCCATGCGGCCCTCAATAGCTTGCCAAAACTGAGTAAGCAACCCTCTGCCCAAAATAATTGCCCACCCCTGAGCTACGAGGTATTAACCTCTGTGTCTTAGTCACATGAGAACACTAGTACTGTAATTCCATCTACCTGACTTCCTCCCTCCTATGGTTTCAATAGAAATGGTGCTCTCCTCATGTACGGTACTTTACTATGCAATGCTGAGCAAACTGCTGCATTCTACACTAGGGGAATATACTGGGAGCAGACAGTGCCGTTCATAGAAGGGCCTGACCCAGCTAGTCTTCATTTGTATAAAAATTAATGTCTATGAGCACCAAATGGGCCACATCCCCATTGTGCTAGGTGTGACATAAGCATATCAGAACATACCATTTTAAACAAAACAGGTCCTGATTCAAGAAAGCACTTTAGCATAGTAAAAATAAGCATGTGTTCTTAAGTCCCTTTTGACATTGGGCAATTCATCGCTGTCTTAATGAACACCTTACTGAATCAGAACTGAGATGAGTAGCCTAAGTCTGTAGAACTAATTATGGATTTTTTTTTAAATGCCTACTGAATTTGGCTCTTAATTTGTGAAACACGACTTCAGATGAAAGCTTTTACTATCTATGAATGTAAGATCAGTAATTTAAAAACCGTTCTTTTTCTCCCCTCCCCCATCACTAACAGACTAGCAAGAAGATAACAGGATGGAAAATAAAGAGAAAAATGGTGAAATTAAAGAAAACCAGGTGGTGAAAAAGAAATTGGTGAGTGTGTTGTTTTTTTTCTTTTGTTTGTTTGTACCTCCCACTCTGTCATGCCTTTTCCAGTTTCCACCTTTTATCAAAATTAAACATTCACTATCAGTTTGGGAGTAAAGACACAGAAAATAGCCATGAGATACTGAGAACCATGAGATCCCAATCTTTAAGTATTGGCAGATTCAGATTCTGGGTTCTTCTGTAAATGAAGAAGTAATGATATTTCCCTTCAGCTCCTGTTGGCTTCATCCCTTTAGATTGTAAGCTTGTGGAGCAGGGGCCATCTTTACTGTGCATCTGCACAGTGGAGCCTATTATATAGATAATGACTCTTGAACAGACTGAATGTGGTTTTGGCCAAATTAACTGGTGATTAAACTGCAACAAGCAATCTCCATTTCCTGGAGGGTGCTACTCCAGTTGAAATGTATGACGGCACTCACTTGGAGGTCCATTGGTTATAAATGGAGCTCCAGGTAGATCAAAACTGAGAGTCCTTCACAAGAAGTATATGGCCTATCTTAGCCTGGATTTCTTACTTCCAGAAGTGTTGCATAACACTTCTCTTCTTTCAGGCATTTAAGAAAAGAGTAAACTGAGTTTTTCTTGAACAGGGACCTGGAGAGTTGTGTGAGAGCTATAAGCAGTGCCAATTGGTTGGTTGACTTGTTTGTTGTGTTTTTACAAAGAACATAAGCCCTGTGAATAAAATGGATCAGACAAAAAGTATCTGGGTGCTTGCTCACATATTTATTTTTCTCTCTCCCCCAAAAAAGGAGGGACAGGAGGGATTAAGCAATTCCAGAGGCTGGATTCTTCACTGGGTTGAATCTTGTATCACTGGTTACACCTGATCACTGTAAATTGCTACTCAAACATAAAAAAATGATTTTTCTGAGGTATAAATGAGGTTTGTGGCAGAGCAAAAAATCAATCAATCAGTCAATAAAATAAAATCAGACCAAACAAATCCAAACACTACCTGGCCTGTTTTGAAGCTAACACACCCACAAGCTGCCCATCATGGCTCATTTCACTCTCACAATATTTTATTGACACAAAATGCTACACACTTCATGTACGTTATAAAAGACAGGAATTCACAGTTCTGTAACAGTACTGTTTCCACTGCTGACATACTAATAGCAGTAATAAATGTAGTGACTAGGAACTTTTCCAAAATATACTCATATCTGTATTGCCATATTTTCTCACATACCACGTGCACATAAATAAGACACATTCCTTGTTTTGGGGACAGGGCACTGAAGAGAGATGGGGGAAGTGGAAGATTTTTCTAGAGTCCTGGCTGAATCCTGACTGTTGATGCTCAGACCAAGAGAAACACCCTACTGTTTTGCCAGCAGTTTTTGGCAGCTAATTTAGCAGTGACTGTGGAAGGATCAAAACTATAATACTGAAAACTGCACTCTGCTCTTCTCTCTCTGGCTGGGAGAGAAGGATAGTCTCAGTAACCATAACAGAATTCATATGCTTCAATTCTGGCATATAAACTAATTTTCCCACTTAAGACTACAAAACCTAATTTTGGAGGGCTGTTTTTTGGGAAAAGGGTGCCTATGGCATGAGGGTAAATAAGCTATAGACACTTCCCAGATTCATGATCTGTTGTTTCAGGTGAACAAACAGCTGTACTCAAAAGATTTTGTTGTTTGCTTAACCCAGCTGATTACATATCTAATAATCACCATCTGTTATAGAATAATAGCATGGGTATATCAAGACTGTTTTGACTGTAGGACTGTAAAAACATCCAGCTATAGTGTGGCTATTATATCAGTGTTCCCTATATATTGAAATCTGTTATGTATCTCTTGCTGGTTAGGACAGTTAGTGCACTTGGGTAAAATCTTGTAGACATTACCTTAGCATAATTCCTTCTGCATTCAGACTCTAGGCCAAGTTCAAAGAGGTGTTTCACGTTCAACTTAACACTCAATGGGCACGTCCAGATGAGCGTGCACATGCCTCTTGCTCTGTCTTAAACCCCTTTGAGGCGAGGCAAGAGGCACGTGTGGGAATGAAAAAATGTTCCCCGCGCTGCAAACTTGCAGCACAGGGAGAAAATTAGACCCCTGGATATCCAGGGGTCTAAAAAAAACAAAGTTTAAAAAAGCGGGGCAGGGCATAGTCCCAGACCATGCCCTGAAGCAACTGGAGGCTGGGTCATCCACAGAGACACTCTGGCTGCCAGAGCGTCTCTATGGTTGGACCCTCACCCTGGTGCTGAAACATACGGGCTGCCAGACAGTGTGCTCAGCACGAGGGCTCCAGTGCTGTAAGTAAGGGGCCAGGGCGGCTGGAGCAGGGGGGAGGACCCCAGGACCCCTGTTGGCCCCACCCACTCCCCCAGCCCCCACATCACTTCCCTGACCAGTGCTCCCCTGCCTGCCCCCCTGAGCCACCCGATCCCTCCCCCCCAGCATCCCCATAGTTAAAAAAAATAAAATAAAATCCAGCACTTACCGGCAGTTGGAGCTACCGCCTGTATCACTGGGGTCCTGCCCGTGCAATGAGGGGTAGAGGGACAGCCCCAGCAGCCCCAGTTCAGGCCCTCCTGCCCCCCACTGCCCTGTGCTGCCCAGGGGGGGCTCTACCAGGAGGCCCCAAAGCCCCCCACCCCTGCTCCAGAGGCTTTTTTTTTCTTTTTTTTTCATGACAGCCCCCTCAAGTGATGGTGCCTGGGGTTGGGGGGCCAGCCATGGG